GTCAGAGGACAGCACGGAGGAATTGGTTTTACCCTTTTCCAATATGGTTCCAGCATAAAACAGTTTGTCAGGCTTGGTGACAAGTATGTTTACCTGCTGAGCCAACTTGCCAGTCCTGGGAAGAGAGCTAAAAATATCTTTACATTGGTTTAGTATTTTTGAGACATAGTCTTGTCTTGTCGCATGACTGGTACTTACTGAGCCAAGACTGGCCTCAAGATTATGACAATTCTCCTGCCTCAGCTTCCCGAGTGCTCAAATTACAGATGTGAGCCACTATGTTGGGCTTAGAATTAAAAAGATTGTTATTGTATGTTTGCAAGATATATGTGTGTAGGTGTGTACTAGAGTGTGTGTGTGTGTGTGTGTGTGTGTGTGTGTGTGTGTGTGTAGGTCGTTGGACAGCTTTGTGGAGTTGTTTATCCCTCCACCTTTCTCAGAGTTCCAAGAGTCAAACGCCAGTGGGTAGGCTTGTGCAGCAAGAGCCATCTTGCCTTCCTGAGAATTTATTTCAATTTTTGATTGAGTCCTTGAAGTATTGATTCTAAAAGTGATTGTATCTAGGTAGCAGATTATTTTATTAATTTAGCTTTTTTGATATTTTCATTTTCTTTTAAAGAATTTTTAGGACAGTGCTTTTATTAGGACAAGCTCCTTAATAAAAAACTATGGAAGTTAAGGTTAAGTTATTAAGAAATAACTTAATATTGTCCTGTTGCAAAAAAGCTCAACTTTTATTGTACTTCAAGCTTAAGATGATTCTTCTCATTGCAGGCAATTCTTGAGAGGAAATCTCATGTCCTTGTGAATAGCCGAAGGCTCTCAGCTCTGACCTGACTGTTCTTGTTGACAGGGAAATGGCTATTCCTTTAGTATTACTCAGTTTCCAGTCCAGAGCATCAAGTTTATCCCCAAGTGTTGGAAAACAAGCCAGAGTTAGGACAGAAGGGAGTAGGTGCTTGGGCTGGCTGAGGTGGGGTATGCAGGCTCCTCAGTCTACTCCTATGCTCAGCAGGGGCATGCTGCAGAGAAGCACCTGAGCGCACAGACCTGCAGAGTTGGTGGGAAGAGAATTTATCTGCATAGAATTTTAACTCGAAAAAGACTTTCCTTTAAATTGCTAAAGATTATATTTTTAATGTCATTTTCAAGTTTAGTTACTACACAGCCGAGGCGAGTTTAGTAACATGCTGCCACACTCAGATTTCTTTCAAGTTTTTTCAAGAGAGCGAAGATAGTAAGAGACCTGGTTGGCAGCATTGCTATTTAACTTCGTTATATGACACAAAGTCAGGAATGCTCTTTATCATTCACTTCTTCCTTTTGCTCTGATTCTTCATACAGACCTTGTGAGACATGAGCTAAATTACATTTAAGATAAACAGTTGGAAAAAAAAGCTATTAAAGCTACTTGTCTGAAAAGATGGAAGAAGGGAAACATGATTTTGATAAATTCTGAGTTATTTAAACACTAGTACAATGGTAGAATCTTAGGAAGTGAAATTCAGCAAATTTGTACAAGCTCAGAGAGCATGCTAGGTGCCCAGTAGGCAGCACTTCAGCCTCATAAAATGTTTTGTGACTTACCATTTTTAGAAATTGGTTTATTTGGCTGGGTGATGGTGGTGCACACCTTTAATCCCAGCACTTGGGAGGCAGAGGCAGGTGGATCTCTGTGAGTTCAAGGGCTAACAAAGCGAGATGCAGGACAGCCAGAGCTGTTACATAGAGAAACCTTGTCTTGAAAAGCTAACAAATACTATTTCTTTTTACATTTGCATACTTGGTGCGTGTGTGGATGAGTCCATGTGGAGGTCAGAGGACAACCTATAGGATTCATTCTGTCCTTCCCCGTGTGGGTTCTGGGGATTGAAACTCTGGTTGTCTTTGGAAGCAGACTCCTTTCCCCACTCAGTAACCGTGGTGACCTGTGCTTTACTAACTTTTATAAAGGTTCCAGTCAGCTGAAGTTGAGATGTTTACTAAGTTTCCTCACTCCCTAGAACAGGGACCTCCTCTCCTTCAGACATTTTCCAGCTTTTAAAATGTTTTATTAATGTTTGAATTTTGACTTATAGCCTCAGACTTATGTAGCAGAGGGTGATCTTGAACTTCTGATCCTCTGGCTTTCACCCCTCTAATGCTAGGATTGCAGGTGTGTGTGGAGTAGGGACTGAACCCAGGGCCTTGTGCATGCTCAACAAGCACTGTACCAACTGAGCTACATCCTCAGATCAGTTTTTCAGTGTTTAACTTGTTTCTGTTTTTAAATTAAATTTAAAAATTTAAAATATACATTTAAAAATTGTGCTTGTGCACTTCATGTGCATGCATGCTTGCTTGTTTGCTTGCACTTTTACTTGAGTGCACATTCACCTTTGGCATATCACGTGTTACCTCTGGCCTATGTGTTGGGGTCAGAGGACAGTTTGATGGAGTTGGTTCTTTCCTTCCATCATGTGAGTCTCTGGATCAAGCTCATGTCATCAGGCTTGGTGGTAAGTACAACTCCAGGGCCTTTAACTAGTATTTTGCTTGTTTTTTTCCTCACTACATAGCTCTGGCAGGCTGGAGCTTGCTATGTAGACCAGGCTGTCCTTGAACTCACAGAGCTCCACCTGTTTATGCTTCTAGAATGTTGGAATTAAAAGAATGCACCACCACACTCAGCTGTAGTGTTACTTTTAAAAATTAAAAATAGAAGTCTTTCTGGACCAAAGGAATATCTAAATAAATTGATGTATTTATTTGGTGGAATATTACATCTTCAATAATATGATAAGTAAAAATATTACTGTGGACAGTGTTGAATTTGCTGAGAGGGAAAAGTACATTTACTGTCATGTTTATTGGGCTGTACCATGTAAAATATGTAAATTTTAATAGTTGGATAAAAGCATAAGCAGTAAAGTGAACACTGTTTAATTGATGAGATTATGATAAACCTTTATGTAGGATTTTATTAGTGTTACAGTGTTAATTGTGTGACGGCAATATAACATCAGAACAGTGAGATATAGTCAGCACAAAACAACCAAAATAAACCAACCTGAACAGGCCCACCTTCTACACAGCACAGCACACCTACTCATAAAGGGATACTGGCTTGGAGATGGTTTACAACCAAGTTCAATTCCAAAAGTATTCTCTTGTAGCAAATTAATTTCTTGCAAAGTAATACAGATTCTTGTGGCACTTGTAATTGTGTTAATTTACAAAGTCTTGCAAATAGTTTAGGTACTATATTCTGTGGCCATTGGATAATTGGATCTTAGTTAATCTTCCTAGTTTTGATGAAGGCTCATTTTTTTCTTAGTGTTTAGGCAGGACCTCACTGTGCAGGCCAGGCTGGCCTCAAAAGTCCACCTGTTTTTGCCTCTGCTGGGATTAAAGGTGTGTGCTATTACACCTGCCTGATAAAGACTAATTTTTAATGCTTTTTAAAAAAAGATTTATATACTTTACTTTTTGTGTGGATGAGGGTTTTGCCTTCATGTATTTCTGTGCATCATGTACATACCTAGTGCTTGAGGAGGTCAGGAGAGGGTGTTCGATTCCCCTGGAGCTGGAGTTATAGATGGTTATAGCCATCTTGTGGATGCTGGGAACTAAACCCAGGTTTTCTGCATTGCTGAGCCGTCTCTCCAGCTCCTAAAGGCTATTTCTTTCTTTTTTTCTTTTTCTTGGGGGATTGGGGGTTGAGATAGGATTTCTCTGTGAAACATCCCTGGCTGTCCTGGAACTCGCTCTGTAGAAAAGGTTGGCCTTGAACTCATAGAGATCCACTGCCTCTGCCTCCCAAGTGCTGGGATTAATGGGTGTGTGCCATCACCACCTGGCTTTAAAGGCTAATTTTTAGTTGCATAGAAATACCCAATATTGAGATTTCTCCTTCCTTCCTTCCTTTCTTCCTTCTTTGTCCCCTTCTGCCTCTCCCACCCTCCTTCCCTTTAACCTCAGACTTACTATGTAGGTGAAGATAACCTTGAACTCCTGATCCTCCTGCTTCCCATCTCTTTAGTTTCTCGGTTAGAGGGAGATGCTCCCTGTTATGTGCAGTGCTGAACGTTGAACTTCATGTATGCTAGCCAAGCATTCTATCAGTTAGCTATATTCCAGCCTGGGTTTTGCAGTTTGTCTTCAACAGTTTAATGGCACAGAGTCTGTTCAACCAATAAATCTGCAGTTTTAAAAGCCCTCATTTAACTTGATATAACATTAAACAATTTTTTGGAAAAATAATTTAGAAAGTATTATTGTGCGTAGAGAGTATATGTGTGCTCCTGTGGTGCAGCACACATGAGGTCATAGGGAAACTTCTTGGAGTTGGTTCTCTCCTTCTACTAAGGGGTCCAAGGACTGATCCCAGGTCATCGAAAGTACATATCAAGCATTTTATCCAACATGGTCTATATTTCCTTAGCTGGAACCACTTGACTTCAGTTATCCTCCTGCCTCAGCCTCTTGCTTAAATGGGCCTGTATGTGTGCACTGCTATTCCCTACATCAACTGCTTGTTTTCTTTCTGATTAATTGACAGTTAATTTCTTTCCCTATGTGTGAGTGGTATTTTGAGGCATGTAGATAGTATGTAGTGATCTGAGTAACTGATATATCACTTGAAACATTTGTTTTTTTCTTGCTGTGGGTGTATTCAAGATCTTCTCTGCTCGATGTTTTGAAGTCCATAATTCAGGGCCAGTGTCGTTCTGATGGCCACAGAACCTGACAAGTTCTTACTCAGCTGCACACTGGAGAGCCTTAGAGGATGTCTCCCTAGGTTTTGATGCTGAACGTTGTAGTAGGGTTCATCTGATCTTTGCCATGTTCCTTCTTGTCCTTGCATGCATGTCTTATAAAGAGCCTACTGATTGTTTCTTCTGTTTGGAGTTTTTCTGTTAGCATGTACAAAGACATACTTAGGATGTCTTCCTTTTAGAAGCAAAAAAAGTGGGTCTGAGTGCCTTGTGGCGGCTAATGCTGTGTTTCTTCCTTGGCAGTACTGGGGGAAGGACTGGCCAAGGGAGAGGCTGCCTTCCGGGCGGTGCTGTGCTGCATGCAGCTCAAAGGGAAGCTCCAGCTTGTGTCCTCCATCCTTGCCAAGTCACTATCAGGAGAGTCTCTGGTATGTTGATGAGCACGGCTTTGCCAACGTTGGGGCATGTTTGACTCCTCAGGATAATATGAGGAAAATAGTGGACATTTGGTGTAAGTGTAGTTCTGTCAGATGTCAAAATTCGTGACAATCCCAAGATGTTCATTGTTTTAAAATGAACTGACATTCAATCATTGGACCCTTGCCATTCATGATGGTATATATAAAAACCACAGGTACTTTTTGCTGAGTTCTAAAGTATAAGATAACCAGAAGACTTTCTTTTTAAAAATTAAAATCAGTCGGGCAGTGGTGGTACACACCTTTAATCCCAGCACTCTGGAGGCAGAGGCAGGCAGATCTCTTGAGTTCATGCCAGCCTGGTCTATAGAGCGAGTTCCAGGATAGCCAAATCTACACAGAGAGACCCTGTCTTGAACCCTGTTCCTCCTCCAAAAAAGAAAAAAAAAAAAAATAAAAACAAAACAAAACAAAAAACCACCAAAGCTGGGTGTGGTAGTGCGTGCCTTTAATCCCAGCACTGAGAGGCAGAGAGAGGCAGTTGTCTGAGTTCCAGGCCAGCCATGCAGCCATGGCTATGTGAGACCATGTCTCAAAAACCAAAACAAACAAAAAAAATAGAATTAAGTTTTTTTTAAAGATTAATGTACATACTAATGGGTTTCATCATACCAAATGGGTGTGTGTAAGTTAATATCCTTGTTTACTTGATGGGAACTATCTAGTTATATTTAGACTTGAATTTAATTTTTTTAATTATAACTTTTATTGATTCTTAGTGGATTTCAAAGATAGGTTTTTTTTTTTTTTTTGTTTTGTTTTTTGGTTTTTTCGAGACAGGGTTTCTCTGTGTAGCTTTGCGCCTCTCCTGGAACTCACTTGGTAGCCCAGGCTGGCCTCGAACTCACAGAGATCCGCCTGGCTCTGCCTCCCGAGTGCTGGGATTAAAGGCGTGCGCCACCACCGCCCGGCTCAAAGATAGGTTTTTAAATATATATATTTCCTAGTTTTCTTTGTTATAATTAAAGGGCTACTTTTTGTAACTTCATTTTTGGTTTTTCGAAACAGGGTTTCTCTGTGTAGCTTTGCACCTTCCCCAGATCTCGCTCTGTAGACCAGGCTGGCCTCGAACTCACAAAGATCTGCCTGCCTCTGCCTCCCAAGTGCTGGGATTAAAGGCGTGTGCCACCACCATCCGGCTCTTTTTATAACTTTATAGAGTTGATAATTTATAGGAATTTGAAAGAAAACTTTTTTTTTTCAAGTTTCTTGGTATTTTTCAGGCATCACAATGAAAACAGAGAAAGAAGAACGTATATAATTACCAGGCAGTGTAATTTCTCTGTCAGTTATGCTTCAAGTTGATAGGAATTTTGAAAATCAAGAGCACAGATGGTGAAAATACAGAAATTAGAAAAGTATTTGTCTGTTATGAAGTGTAATATTATTGCTCCACCACAGGGTCATTTAGTCAACTTGTAAGGAATTACTGTGCAGCGAATTGCTTCCTTAGTTTGGCGATGTCTCTGATTTCACAAGGTTTACAGATGTGAGTACAGCAAAGTGATGCAGCTGTTTAGATCTGAACATCTGTGAAGATGTAGTTACTTAGTCTTTCTCTTTTGAGACAGGGTCTGGACCTGGAGACAAACAAACTTCTGCCTTCCTCTACTGAGTGCTGGGATTACAGTGGCTAGGCACCCTTCCTAGGAAGAGAAGAATGTAGCCCAGACTGGCTTCAGCCTAGGGTCCTCCCTCGTCTTTCAAGTTCAGCAGTTACAGCTGTGCCCAGCCTTAAAAGGGTTTTTCCTATAATTATTTTATTGTTGTATCTGTTGGAGTTATTTTATATTTTTTGGTTTTTCAAGACAGGGTTTCTCTGTGCAGTTTTGGTGCCTGTCCTAGATCTCGCTCTGTAGACCAGGCTGGCCTTGAACTCACAGAGATCCTCCTGGCTCTGCCTCCTGAGCGCTGGGATTAAAGGTGTGCACCACCATCGCCTGGCTTGTTGGAGTTTTTAATTTTTAAAACAATTTGTTTTTAATTTTCAAATTTTCTGAAATTTGAATTTCAAAACTTAACAAGACTCCCTGGTTTCTGTGATGGTGGATACCCCTGAGTTCAGCATTTCATATATACAGACAAGCCTGTTAGCACCAAAGGAGAGGGAAAAATAGTTTTCGGTTTGCTTTTCTCATGTTTTGTTCTATACTCATAGCTTGGCAAGCATTTTATAGAATTAAAAAAAAATATTTTTTGAGGCAGGGTCTCCTGTAACTCTGGCTGGCCTGAACTCACTCTGTAGACCAGGTTGGCCTTGAACTCACAGAGATCCGCCTGCCTCTGCCTCCTGAGTGCTGAGATTATTTTACACCTGTACATCAGGTGAGTGCTTGTAGTAGCATGTGTACTTAGCAGGAACAGCAACTGAGTCTTTCTCCGTTAGGCCTCTTTTCCTTTCCCTGGCTGCCTGCAGCTTCTCAGTGACAGAGCAGCAGTGTGGAGGAAGGGAAGGGGAGCTGTGGTGACTACAGAGAAGCTCACCCGAGTTGTGAAACGAAAGAACTGCACACTGATGGTTTCCTGTCTTCATTTCCTCCTTGCAGAATGGGATGGTAACGAAAGATTTGACAAGACTCAAGACACTTCTCGCAGAGACGGAGGTGAGTCCATTGCCAGGCTCCCTTTGGGTGCATCAAGGCCAGTGAGGTCAGTGAGCATTCTGTGTTAGTCAGTCAGCATGCAAGGTGATAGGGGACCTTCTGTGCAGCTGGGTCAGGTCCCACTCTCAGAACACAGCTTCTTCTCAGGCCTCCTCTGCATCCCAGGTCTTCTGTTCTGACTAATTCTTCTTCTTTTTGCGTGTATATATGTGTGTAGTTTGTGTGTATGTGTATTCACCCATGTGTGGGCACACATGGATGTCTGGGTGTGAGTGCACATGTGTGCGTACATAGAGGTGGAGGCCTGAGGTTGATGTAAGATGTCTTCCTGATTATTTTCTATTTGTTGAGGCAGGGTCTCTCACTGAACCTGGAGCATACCAATTCTGGCTAGTCGAGCTAGCCAGCTGTCCTTGGATCCCTTGTCTCTGCCTCTTGAGTGCAGGGATTGTGGGGGGTCACCATGTCTCTGGCTTTTACACGGGGTCTGGGGATCTGAACTCTGCTCTTCACATTTGTATGGCAAGCTCTTCATGCACTGAGTCGTTTGTCTGGCTCCCATCCCTGTTATTCTTGTTAGTTATCTCTGGCCCCCAAATGGAAGGTACTTGGGTAATTTTAATTTTTTTCCTAAAAATTTTATGTGCGTTGGTGTTTTGCCTACATGTATGTCTGTGTGAGAGTATCGGATCTTGGAGTTACAGACAGTGAGCTGCCATGTAGGTGCTGGGATTTGAACCTGGATTCAGAGAAATAATAAAAAATTAAAATTTCCCAGGGGCTGGAGAGATGGCTCAGTGGTTAAAAGCACTGACTGCTCTTCTAGAGGATTCTGGTTCAATTTTCAGCACTCACGTGGCAGCTCACAACTGCCTGTAACTCCAATATCTGATACCCTCACACAGACATACATTCAGGCAAAACACCAGTGTACATAAATATAAATTGTTTATAAAAAAAACCACAACATTAGAAAACTCAAACAAGATAATCCTAATCATCTGTATCTTTAAAAAAAATTTTTTTTAAAGATTTATTTATTACGTACACAATGTTCTACCTGCATGTATGCAGGCAGGCCAGAAGAGGGTACCAGATCTAACTACAGATGGATGTGAGCCACCATGTGGTTGCTAGGAATTGAATTCAGGACCTCTGCAAGAGCAGGCACTGCTCTTAACTGCTAAGCCATCTCTCCAGCCCTCATCTGTATCTTTTTAAGGAATCTGTGACTTAGAAGATTTTTTTATATTGGGGAATGGTTTGAAAATGCCAAGTGTCCAGGTAACAGCTACAGAAGTGAGTGCTCTAGGGAAGCTCTTGCAGGGCTTTTGGAAGGCAGGGGCAGCAGTGGCATGTGAAGATACACAGCTCATCTAGGCATAGAAATATATTTTATTTGGATGTCCTATTTTATGTATTTATTTATTTTGGCCTCCCCCCCCCTTTTTTTTTTCAAGACAAGGTCTCTCTGTTTAGTCCTTGCTGTCTTGGAACTCACTTTGTAGACCAGGCTGGCTCCAAACTCACAGATATCCACCTGCCTCTGCCTCCGGAGTGCTGGGAAAGGCGTGTGCCATCACAGCCCGGCGGCCCATTTAGTTTTGATGATAAAATATAACTACATCATTTTCTCCCTCCCTTCACTCCAACTCTTTCCAAGTGCCTGCCCTTGCCCTCTCAAATTTATGGCCTGTATTTCTGTTCTGTTTCTGTTACTTGTGTGTATCTGATTTCAGGTATTATTAACCAGTTTGGGGGCTCTTCCCCAAGAAAGGCCATTTCTCTTGCTCTCGGCAGTTCTTAGTTGTCTCTAGTTCTTTGTCTAGGGTTGAGCTCCATGGTAACACATCTGTAGTGTCAAATTTTTTGTTTGTTTGTTTGTTTTCAGAGACAGGGTTTCCTGTGTAGCTTTAGCTGTCCTGGAACTTGCTTTGTAGACCAGGCTGGCTCCAGACTCACAGACATCCACCTACCTCTGCCTCTGGAGTGCTGGGACTAAAGGCGTGTGCCAGCACCGCCCACTGTTGGTCTCATTCTTGTTCAGATCTTTTATGCATTCACGTTGTGTAGACCTTGCTCCTGGAACTTAAAGTGATCTTTTGTGAAACACGGAATGCTTGTAGTGTAAGTAATTCCTCCTGGTTTATTTGTTTTTATGTATTCATATTCAATCCATTTTACCAAAAATTGGGTTATCTTTTAAAAAAGCACTCATTAGTAGCTTGATAATGACAGACTGTGGTGATTTTGATCTTCAAAGTTCAATTTGTTGGTCACATGGCAATATGGCAACAGTATTAACTTCAGATATCCAGTCTGCATTGCCACCATCCATTCTGTGTTATAAGACAGTCCAAATTTCATCTTAACAAAAGGTTTCTTTCACCTGAGTGTTGAAGGCTGAGGTGTGTCCAGCAGGAAAAGATCCAGAGGCTGTTTGATTTAGGTGCTATTGGCAAATAGTCAGTTGGCTCAGGGAGAAATAAGACAAGTGATAGAGCAGTGGCAGCTGGGAGGAGAGCGTAGGACAGACAGGGTAGATGTTTTAGACCTGCTCAGGATGGCAGAGTTCAGCATGACTTTTCGTTTTTGTTTTTCTTTCTTTCTTTCTTTTAAATTTATGTGCATCGGTGTTTTGCCTGCATGGGGGTGTCGGGTACCCTGGAACTGGAGTTACAGACAGCTGTGAGCTGCCGTGTGGAAGCTGGGAATTGAACCTGGGGCCTTTGGAAGAGCATCTAGTGCTCCCAACTGCTGCACCATCTCTCCAGCCCCCCAGGATGACTTTTAAGATTTCAGCCTGAGGCCAGCCAGATGGCTTGCTGCCATCTGAATTCAATCCCTGGAACCCACGTAGTGGAGAGAGAGAACTGACTCTTGCAAATTTTGTTCTGACCTCCACACTCTTGCTGCGCCATATGTGTCCAAAGCAAAGAAAATGTAATCAAAATAATCTCAAAACCAAAAGAGATTTCAGTGTGTGACTGTCTTCGGGGGAAGACTCCTTCTCCTTGAGATGAGTACTGGAGAGGCTTAGATGTGGAGTAAAGTTGGTGAATTTTGTTTTGCACATGCTGTGTTTGAGGTGCCCACCATGTGAGAGCTACTCTGGGGGCTGATTGGAAAGTGGAAAGGCAGCTTATGCTGTTGGTGACCAGTCTTGGCACTGTTAGTGACCCAGCAGGGACGTTGCAGCACTAAAGCGAAGTGTCTGTGAGGTACTTGTCTTAGGGAGACAGAGAGAAGAGACCCTCGCCTTTCAGCCCGTTGTAGAAGAAAGGCCTGTCCCAGATGGAAGAGGACTTGACAGGTAGGGTCAGGAAAGCTAGAACTGAGGAATCATAGCTGCCCTCTTTCTGGCCAGGTCACGCTTCAGGTGTTAGCAGGAGAGAAGCCAGCACATGAATGGCAGCTGCCTGCTCAGCGGGTCCAGAGTGTAGACTTTTCTTCAGGTAGCAGGGTGCCTTTACACTGTAGGGAGGGCATCTGGGAAGGACTTCATCTCCATGCTCCTGTAGTGCACTAGAAAGAGCAAAAATGTCACTTCCAAATAGATTTCTATTATTTTCTAATATTTAAATATTTGCTTTACTTTTATTTTATGTATGAGTGTTTTGCCTGCATGTATGTGTATATACCATGTGTCAGCAGTGACCGTAGCGGCCAGAAGAGGACATCAGGTCTCCTGGAACTTGAGTCAAGGAGGATTGTGAGCTGCATTGGGTCCTGGGACAAGTCCTCGTCCTTTGTAGGAGTAGCAAGTGCTTTTTACAGCTGAGCCATCGCTGCAGTTCCCTCTTCATTTTAACACTGAAAATACCCAAATTTAAACCAGCATCAGTCAGTACTTTTTATTTCTCTTACACCTCTTTTATTTGAAAATTGCAGACAGCAACAAGTAATGTCCTCTCTGGATGTCATGTGGAAGACTTAGATGAAGGTAAGTACTAAATTTGTCATAACTTCTGGTAACTCTTATTATGGCCCTTGCCTTTTAATTGAAGAATTTCTGGAGGAAAATCCCTGAGTATAGCCTCTATCGTTGGAGATGTAGGAAAGGATATAAACATTTAGAAGTAGGTGTAGATGAAAACAAATCTCTCTCTGAAACCTTTCCCTAGGTGAACTGAGTAATGATAACTCCACAGATACCTGTGTAGCTGAGGCTGGCCTTGATCTCCTGATGCTCCACTTCTGAGCACTTTGATTGCAGGTGTGCACCAGTAGGCCTACTCTCCCAGCCTGCCCTGAAGTGTCTACTCCATGCTAAAGTGGCTGACTTCTCAGGGCTCGTCTTCACCCGCATATTCAGTGTTAAAATGAATATTTATTGAGGTTCAGTGGTTTCCCCAAGTCACCTAGCTAGTAATGGATGAAGCACAACTTTTAAGCTTAGCCTGGCAGAATATCTGTCTTGTCCCCTAGGGAAGGGGACAGGAACGTGTAAGGATAGAAAACGGTGGTTTATTTGGAACTTCATCTAGATCAATCAAAGTCATTTGTATTCAGAAATTTATGCACTTAGCTCCTGTATATGCTTAACTGTTGGAGCTTCCTTTCTGTTATACAACATTCTGTAGTGATGTGCCCCAAATAGGTCTTCAGGGGTTTCTCACTCAGTGTGCAGTGGTTGCTAGACAGTCAGTTTTCATTCCTGAAGGAGTTTCTCATAGAAATGCATCCTGTGCTTAGAAATGACAAGCATCAGAGTCCTCAGAGAAGAAATTGCCCTGGGAGGAAGCCCACCACCTGTCAGATCAGAGTCAGCGCCACCAACCTGATTTAGCTGCTGGGTAGTGGCCTCAGCAGCATGCTGTTTTATAGAGTCGGTTGACTAACTTAGTTGATTGGTAGGGGCACCTTTGCATGTCTGTTTTAAATCATGTAGGATGATGAATGTCTTAGACATTAAAATGTTGGAAATTATGTCCTCATTACTTCCTAGGGTCTTGTAACGGTTGGCATTTCCGCCCGCCACCCAGGGGAATCACAAGCAGCGAGGAATATACTTTGTGTAAAAGGTAATGTAAGAAATATATATATTTTTGGTTTTTCGAGACTGCGTTTCTTTGTATAGTTTTGGTGCCTGTCCTGGATCTTGCTATGTAGACCAGGCTGGCCTTGAACTCACAGAGATCTGCCTGCCTCTACCTCCCGAGTGCTGGGATTAAAGGCGTGTGCCACCACCCACCATAGAAATATTTCTAAAACAAATTGCCTGTCTCTTTTGAAAGTGGAGATAATTTTCCTTCACTTTTTGAAGGCAGCAATTTAAATTCAAAGAAGATAATATGTGAAGAAAGAAAAGTATACTGAACAAGGGGAACGGTTTGTTTCCCATTTGAAATGGAAGCTGCACAGGTCAACACCAAATCATGAGACTTCAGTATTAAACAACAGTCGTGTAATGCAGCTTGTTTAGACTTTGTTCAGAAGGCTTGCATGCTGGCTGAACTTAATTGCTGGCTGCTTTTAGTGTGGGATTTACTTAGATGTGGTAAGTGGAGTTGAAATTAGTTCCTATAAACTGAAAGAGAGCACAAAATCAGTCATATTCAATTATTTTAGTAATTTTTCTGAAAAATATTGTCATGTAATTCTTATATATGGAATTTATGAGTACTTTATATTTGAAGGACTTTCAGAATTAATGATGTGACTCCATTAATACTTAGTTATTTCTGAAAATGTAGAAAGTAAACTGAAGTTCCATTTTAAAAGGTGAGCTCATCAGTTCCTTTCATAAGCATGAGTGCCTGGTGGGGCTTCGCCTAGACCTTGCTGCCCTGAACTGCCTGGCGTAGTGATGGATGCAGTCAAGATGACAGCTTGACTTTGGAGTGGAGACAAGGACCTGAACTAGTAAACACCGCGAGTCCTCATGGTGCCGAGTTATTGGAGCCAACATGATTCTTTGAAAAAGAAACCTGAGGATTAGAGTCTAGATGAGAATAGATCTCTTTTCTTTTGATGGAAATCATTTTTTAAAATTTATTTTTATGGGTATGAGTGTTTTATCTGCATGTAGGTCTGTGTACCACGTATGTGTCTGTTTCCTACAGAGGCCTGAAGAGGGTGTCGGCTTCTCCCCTTGGACAGGAGTTACAGACAGTTGTGAGCGGCCGTGTGGGGGCTGGGAATTGACATTGGGTCCTCTAGAAATGCAGCCAGTGCTCTTAACGGATAAGTAGTGAAATAACTTAGGAAAACATAGAAAGACAACTTTTTGTAGCATGAAAACATACTGTGTATATATAAAAGGCAAATACACGATTTTGCACGTTTTCTGAAGCAAGTGAGGATTTAATCATTGTCAGCAGCATGCTATGGTCTCATGCTTCACGTTCGCTTTGGATGCTTTGGAGACACTGGGGAGATGAACCGGCAGGGTTCATCTAGAGTGTGTTTTCCAGTTTAAAGTGTCCATATATTATATTGGTCTTGTTCGTTTTGTTAAATGTACTTTAATTTTATTCTCAGAGGATCTTTCATCAGTTTTTAAATGTTTTTACTGACCTAAGATCAGACTTTACATAGTTTTGCAGGGCATTTTAAAGTATTTATTTATTTATTTTGGTTTTTTTTTTTTTAGACAGGGTTTTCCTGTGTAGTTTTGGTGTCCTGGATCTTGCTCTATAGACCAGGCTGGCCTTGAACCCATAGGGATTGCCTGGCTCTGTCTCCCAAGTGCTGGGATTAAAGGCATGTGCCACCACCACCCGGCCTTAAAGTAGTTTTTTTAAAAATTAATGATCAAAGCAATTTGGTTTTCTTATTTTGACCATCAGATTATCAGTTTTCTTTTATAAAAACCATGAGTTTTGGGTGACGTCTAATTTTTTGTGTGTATGTTTGTATATGTAATATTTGATATGTATGTGTATTGTGTAGGGACCAAAACAGTTTCACCTTAAACATGTATCATTTCTTTGTGCTAAGAACACTCAAAATCCGACTGATTGAAATCTGCACTATATTATTGTTGTCTCTAATCGCTAATGTTTGAAGTTGTGGATTGAATCCAGGCCCTCACTCAGGCTAGGCAAGTGATGTACCATGGAGCTCCAGCCCCAGCTGGTAAGCTGAGTGTTCAGAATCACAGACACTGAGGCGTCATTAGCTCTTTGTCCTTTGAAGTCAACATTTCTCGATTTAACTCTTGAAGAACTGAGTAACTGTGGCATGAGTTTGTGACTCTGAACTATGAAACTTTCATCCTGAATTTCTTCGGGACTTAACAGTAGCTAGTAGTTTTAGTGAAGTAATAGAGAAAGAGACAGGCATCACCTTGGAAGGTAAAGGTAGAGGTGGTGCTGTGAGGTGCCTAGTATGCAGAGTGTGTCTGGAGTTCATGCCGTCTGGGGAACTCAGGCTATGGCTGTGTGAACAGCTAGTCCACTGGATGTCAGTACTGCTTTAGGAAGATTCTGTTGTCTAAGGGAGCACAAAGGAAGCATGTCTTCAATATCTTATTTGCGCCAGAGGGGTCTCAATATGTTATTGTGCTTTAAACTCGCCATGTTCCTAAGCACAAAGTCAGGGGGTACTGGAGTCGGGGTTGCTGCCCTGACTATCCTGAGTGTTGGTCTGCCACCCTCTTCTCCCTTCTTTGGACTTGGCAGTAATAAATCCGGCCTCTCAAGGCTTTTGTCTTCTGACTGAGACAAAAATACTGAGGAGGAAGAGGGCAAATGGTGGACGATATCCTTAAATGGTTGAACAAGCCAGGCAGTGGTGACACACGCCTTCAATCCCAGCACTCAGGAGACAGGGGCAGTGGTGACTCACGCCTTCAATCCCAGCACTCAGGAGACAGGGGCAGTGGTGACACACACGTTTAATCCCAGCACTCAGGAGACAGGGGCAGTGGTGACACACACCTTTAATCCCAGCACTCGGGAGACAGGGGCAGTGGTGACACACACCTTTAATCCCAGCACTCAGAAGACAGGGGCAGGCGGATCTCTGAGTTTGAGGCCAGCCTGGTCTACAGAGTGAGTTCCAGGACAGCCAAGGCTACACAGAGAAACCCGTCTCGAAAGACCCTCAAGTCTTCCCTCCCTACACAAAAAATGTTGAATGTTCATAAAACAGTCTTTCCTATTCCTCTTAGGTTTTTAGAGCAAGGAATCTGTAGGTATGGTGCCCAGTGTACTTCAGCACATTCCCAGGAAGAACTAGCAGAGTGGCAGAAAAGGTACGCCTCCCGGTTAATAAAACTGAAGCAGCAAAATGAGAACAAACAGCTCTCGGGCAGCTACATGGAGACCTTGATAGAGAAGTGGATGAGCTCGCTGTCTCCTGAGAAAGTGGTAAGAACTGACTACCTGCTGTTGCTCTGGCTCTAACAGTGTACTGTTTCATCTTTGCTTTCCCATGTTCTCAGTGTAGCTATTTCTTCAGTCTACTAAGAACACTTTTTTTTTTTTTTCTATTTTTTGTTTTTGTTTTTATATTTTGAGACAGGGTATCTCTGTGTAGCCCTGGCTGTCCTGGAACTCACTTTGTAGACCAAGCTGTCCTCAAACTCACAAAATTCCACCTACTTCTGCCTTCTCAGTGCTGGGATTAAAGGTGTGTGCCACCACCACCTGACTGAGAATGTGTTCTTAATAAAGTGGTGTTTTTAGTAAGAGAAGCTGGCTTATTTGTTAAAGTGAAAGGCAGAAATGAATGTATGTCTGGACGTATGCAACTCCTACACCTTCATTTAGGGGTGTTTTGATTCTCGGGTTTTGGTTGTTAATTTTCTTCTGGCTGCATCACATGTCACTCTTGTAAGAATGGCTGGAAAGGAGTGTGTGAAATCCCTTGGTCAGCAAGCACTCCACCTGTGCTCATGGCTGACACTTGTTACTTTGCTGGCTTCTCACTTGGGTTTCTACCCTCAGACTGTAACAGGAATTGCTCTTTGCTTTCAGCTTAGCGAATGCATAGAGGGAGTTCAGGTGGAGCACAACCCTGACCTGTCGGTCACCGTCAACACCAAAAAATCTCACCAGACATGGACCTTTGCTCTGACCTGTAAGGTATGAACCCCATGCTAATTAAAGATTATCAGATTTGTTCAGTTTCTTGAAGCTTATTTATTGGACTTTAAATGCCTTTTAAGAGAGAGTTAAAAATGATTTACTCTGAATACATTTTATGTAGACTGTATTGTGCCAAAGTGGGTTTCTGTATTTCAGTCATTAAATATCCTTTTTCCACTTTGAAGTAAGATCCATTTAGCTATGTAGGACACTTTCTTATTTACTTGGTAAAGAAGTCTGACATACATTACCTTCTAAACTTGGAACATAGGATGGGGTTCATGGCTTACAATGAACTGTTTGATATTTGAATTATTTAATCTGGCAGTTCTAAGATTTTTTTTTTAATGAAGACCTATTTTTTAGGATTTCAGTTGATAAAGTCACAAATTCTGTAATAATGTGCATTTTTATTTTATTTTATTTTTATATTTTGTGTTTCATGGGCCTTGCCCATGCTAGGCATGTGTTCTACCACTAAGCTCTATCCCCAGCCCTAGAGAGCAGGTTTTCAATAAGAGACATTTCTGCAGTGCTTCTCATCTTAAATTATGATGGTCGCAGTTTAAGATTGGAGTAGAGTTAACCTTTCAGTGAATCTGTTCAGTGGAGAAGTTTGTGTTCTTTTTAGTGGTATTTCTTCTCAGCACCATCTGCTTCTTGAGATGGAATGTTTAGCTTCAGCCCTGAACCCAGTCCAGTGCTCTCAGAGGTAACTGTCCTCCTGTGAAGGCTTCCTCCGTGAGGCTCTGTCACACAGTTAGAGGTTGACCCAAGGTGGCAGATTTTGCCACAGGGAAAGAAAGATGAACGTATGCAGAAGGTCCAGGGAGGCTGATGATGTAGCATACGTATATCATGTAGAGACTTTGATTTAACCATTGTTTTGTTTTTGTTTTTGTTTTTGTTTTCTTCTTAAAAAGCTTGTGAACACAGTTTGTTGGACATCATAGTATCTTAGAAACATGGGGAGTAGCAGGCCCTTCCGGGAATATTGTCATTGAAGAGCCCAGTTACAATTGAATTTTTACCCCCGTGTACTCAATGAATTATTTTAACTTCCTTGTAGCCTGCAAGAATGCTGTATCGGGTAGCATTGCTTTATGATGCTCATCGTCCTCATTTTAGTATCATTGCCATATCTGCCGGAGATAGTACTACCCAGGTATCACAAGAAGTCCCTGAAAACTGTCAAGAATGGATAGGAGGAAAGATGGCCCAAAATGGATTAGATCATTACGTGTATAAAGTCGGGATAGCATTTAACACAGAAATATTTGGAACTTTTCGCCAAACCATAGTTTTCGACTTTGGATTGGAGCCAGTACTCATGCAAAGAGTAATGATTGATGCAGCTTCTACAGAAGGTAATATTTAGACTTTTTTCCCCCGATACAATGTATTAAAAGGCAAGATTGAAAGATATGTATTGACCCCTAAATATTTCACAGATAGGGAGGGAATAAAAAGGAAAAATTCCCATGTTAATTGGCTTATTCACTGGGTAATGACCATAAAATGGGTCAGGTTGTGCCTTGATCTGTTCATGCAGTCATCAGGCAAATCTTGCTTTGAAGTCCCCTAAACTTACCTTACACAAGTAGATAATTAGGTCTGTTTTGGTCTAGCAATTTCCTGTTAAAGTAAGATGGTTTTAGCACAGACAGACCTTTTAGTACTTGTTTGACTAGAATGTCTTTCTAAGGGTGATGACGTATCTATCTACAGTGTCTATTTCCATTTCCTACTGACTGTTTAGTTAGCTTTGCTAATGTTACTACATTATCTCTGAAGGAAAAGCCCTCAATATCAGTCATGAGTCAGCAGCAGATGCCTTCACTGCTGTTAAGGAGGGCAAGGTGTCTCAGCAGGACCTGCTTGGTGCTTTGGGAAGGCTCCCTGTTTCAGCACAGAAGCGCCTGCATGCTTGCTGCTGCAGCTGACTTGCTTTGTATACTGTTGCTGGTGCCTGTACCTAAATTTGATGCCTAAGTCCAACAGGACAGGGAAAGGGCATGCCAGCCTGTACCTAAATTTGATGCCTAAATCCAACAGGACAGGGAAAAGGCATGCCAGCCCACACTTCCGTGGCTCTTGGTTGGATTCTAGGTGCTTTAATGTATTAAACAAATGATTAAAGATTGCTTTGATGACACCATGTAGTAAGCGATATGAAACTTGGTACTGTGCTTACTGGAATTAACCATAATGTAGAGGATGCTTGCCCCAAGTTCCAGTGTCCCATTCATTAGAACCTGGAATAGTTTTCTTTTCATGAGCAGACACTAGGATGCTGTGGTTTGGACGTGGTAACTGGGCAGTGGAACTCTTCTTTCTCTTTTTTTCCCCCTGCAAGTTGAGGTTAATGAATATACTAACTTGTCCGTCCATCCATCCATCCATCCATCCATCCATCCATCCGTCTTTTATTTTCCTGGGACTGAGTCTCACTAAGTAACCTAGGCTGGCCTTGAAGTCTCAAGTCTTCTGCCTCAGCCTCCCTAGCACTGGAGTTACAAGTATGTATGACCATGACTGACCTTCACTTTAGTAACATTTGTGCCAAGCTTTTGTTGTTAGGCAATGTCGTCTTTGTGTATGCTAATGTAACCCAGGCTTCATTTTATCTCATTTTCTGCCCCGTTTGATCTCATTTACATTTTATTTACTTGTATGTAATTTTGTCACTTTTCTCAGTAAGAACAAAAATATGTTAATTTCCATAGCCAAAAATAGATATGCCAGTAGATAAAATACAAATAAAAGCACAGGGTATAACAAATCTTTCGATGAAGGACTAGATGGTAAATGTTGTAGGTGTTGTGAGGACTTGGTCCTGGGCAGATCTTTAGGAATGGGCCTGACTGCACTCACAGGACTTCAGAACTTCTCTGTTTGAAGTTAGGGGGAGGTTGGAATTGTAGAAAGAGAAGAAAAGGAACTCCTCTCTTTAGTGTCCAGATGGATTTTGTTTTAGAAGTTTGTTCTTAGAGTAGTGCTTTAATAATCATGACTTGTTTTCCCATAAATGTTAAGAATCCACACTAGTGGGTGTTAAATGTCTGCAATACAAAGTTAAGGGAAGCCAGGTGGTGGTGGCGCACGTCTTTAATCCCAGCACTCGGGAGGCAGAGGCAGGCGGATCTCTGTGAGTTCGAGGCCAGCCTGGTCTGTAGATTGAGTTCCAGGACAACCAGCGCTGTTACACAAGAAACCCTGTCTTGGAAATAAAAAAAAAAAAAAAAAAGTTAAGGGGAATGTTGCAGGTAGAACAGCTGATGAGTCAAAGTAGTGAAGGTGACTTCAGGATACTCTGATGGGCTAGGGAAGAGGGGCACTTTGACAGCTGTCTGTGTATTTCGCTTCTGGAAGAGGAGTGATAATGAGATCACATAGAGCTGGAAGGGAATCCTGGTTTTCTACTTATCTCTGAGGCTCTGGGTAGAGGTCTTAATATCTCCAGCTTGAAGGGGAAACATTTAGAGAATAGAGCTAGTGTACCTTCCTTAGATGAGTATGAGGACTAGCAGGAAGTCTGTCAGCTTTAGCTCATAGTAGGCATTTAAAAGTGTTGTTTTCAGGTTGGCAAGATGGCTCAGCGGATAAAGGCGCTTGTCACCAAGCAGGTTACTTTATTGATTGGGAGAGGGGCACACATATGCCGTAGAACATGTGTGGAGGTCAGAGGACTTTTTGAGAATCAGTTCTCTCCTACCATGTGATCCCAGGGCTCAAACTCAGATTGTCAGGCTTGGTGGCAGTGCCTTTATTCACTGAGCCATCTTGCCAGTCCAGTTCTAGATTTGAAAATTTTCTTCTTCTTTCTGTGTGTGTGTGTGTGTGTGTGTGTATGTACGTGTACGTACCATGGATGTGAGAGAGCCATGTCTCCAGCCCCAGTTTTCTTCTTCTGTTGTTCTTCTTTTTTTCTTTTTTGAGGCAAGGTCTTACTCTGTAGACCAGGCTGTCCTTGAACTCATAAGATCCCTTCTGCCTCTGCCTCCTGAGTGCTATGTGGTGGTATTGTGTTCCTCAAAATGTTGTGCACTCTAATAAACTTATCTGGGGTCAGAGAACAGAACAGCCACAATATTAAACATAGAGGATAGGCAGTGGTAGCACACGCCTTTAATCCTAGCATTCCAGAGGCAGGGATCTGCCTGGATCTCTGTGAGTTTAAAGCCACACTGGAAACAGTCAGGCATGGTGACTCACGCCTTTAATCCCAGGAAGTAATGGCAGGAGGCAGAAAGGTATTTAAGGTGTGAGGATGAGGAACTAGAGCTAGTTAAGCTTTCAGGCTTTCGAGAAGCAGTTCAGCTGAGATTCATTCTGGATGAGGACACAGAGGCTTCCAGCCTGAGGAAACAGGATCATCTGAGGAATTGGCAAGGTGAGGAAGCTGTGGCTTGTTCTACTTCTCTGATCTTCCAGCGTTCACCCCAATACCCAGCCCGGATTTATTTTTATTAATAAGACCTGTTAAGACTCATGCTACAGTGCTAGGTTTAAAGGTTTGCACCACTACATCCAGCTTAGTTCTCCTCCCTCCCTCCCTCCCTCCCTCCCTCCCTCCCTCCCTTCATAGTGATTTATATATTTTTATTTTATGTGCATTGGTGTTTTGCTTGCATGTATGTCCATGTGAGGATGTCAAATCACTTGGAGTTGGATTATAGACAGCTGTGAGCTGCCATATGGTTTTGGGAATTGAACCTGGGTCCTCTGGAAGATAAGCCTGTGCTCCTAACCATTGAACTATCTCTCCAGCCCCCAGGCTTAGTTTTCTTATTCTTAAAATTGATATCATTGAATGTCTTACTCTTTTTTAATTCCAGTGTTTTTTGGGTACATAAATGTTTTTGTTTCTGTATGGTGTGTTTTGAGTCCTAACAGAATTCTTGAGTAACAGAGACAGGATAGTCATACTATAATATTTGTTTCCTGTTTCAGTGGCTTTTAAATTTAAATTTAAAATTTTTTTGTTTTCTTTTTGGTTTTTTGAGACAGGGTTTCTCTGTGTAACAGCCCTAGTTGTCCTGGATCTCACTCTGTAGACCAGGCTGGCCTCAAACTCACAGAGGTCCACCTGCCTCTGCCTCCCGAGTGCTGGGATTAAAGATGTGTGCCGCCACGCCTGGCGCATTCAGGGCATCCAGGGTGGTTACACAGAGAAACTTTCGTTTCTCTTGAAACTCCTACCCCCTCTAATTATTTTTATTTTATTTTTGTCTGTGTATATTTTGCCTGCATATCTGTTTGTGCATCATATGCATGACCGGTGCCCACAGAGGCCAGAAGAGGGCATTGGATTGCCTAGGACTGGAGTTATAACTGGTTATGAGCTGCCATATGGATGCTGGGAATTGAACCTAAGTCCTCTGGAAGAGCAGCCAGCGCTTTTAACTACTTCATCATCTTTCCAGTCTCCTTAAAATTTTTTTAAATTATTATTATTATTTTTAATATTTATTTATTTTATGTGTATGAGTACTCTATTGCATGTATGCTTGCATGCTAGAGGAGGGCATCAGATCCCATTACAGATGGTTGTGAGCCACCATTTGGTTGCTGGGAATTGAACTCAGAACCTCTGGAAGAGCAGTCAGTGTTCTTAACCTCTGAGCCATCTCTCCAGCCCCCTTAAATTATTTTTATAGTCAGTCTTTTTAAAACTATTAGTACAGAGTTCTTGTCACCAAAGAATTTGAGGGTAAAACCTTGATGAAGTATAACTACTGTTCTGTTCCCTACTTACTCTGAGCTGCTAGAAAGGAATTGGCAGTATTGTATTTTCTGTCATTTCCTGTCCTGCCTATGTGGACAACATCCGGAAACACAAGAGCAAGACAGTTACTTTGCCGAGTTGTTTGCAGGTGACAACAGAGTCTTTTTTACTTCCTTCTCAGCTTATTCATTATTGGAATGTCCCTGGTTTATAGTAAAGAGAAAAGTCTTGTTCCAGGCACAGGTTTGAGAACATAGTTTGGAACTGAATCGGGTCTGGGGTCTATCTTGTTTTCATTATGTTATGAGTTTCAATATAGTTTGGTTTTGCATGCAAAGAAATTTAGTGATGAAGTGAAACTGGAATTTGAATGGGAAACGTCTATCTCTACTGCTTGCTTTTTCTACTTGATTGGCAATTTATTGGTGTTGTCAATGGGTTTATATTGCTGTGATAACATACCATGACTAAAAGCAACTTGGGGAGGTAGGGGTTTATCCTGTATTAAAGTTTATAGTCCATCATCCAGGGAAATCAGGGCAGAACCTCAAGGCAAGAACCTGGTAGCAGGAACTGAGGTGGTGGCCATGGAAGATTGATGCTTTACTGGCTTGTTCTAGCACTATTTTTCTAAGGCCC